TAAAGTTATATAAATATTGCTCGTACCAGGTTAGTTGGCGCTATCAGAAATCTAAATGTCGAAAAAGCCTAACTAAAAACGTAGCTAAGAGTTGGATTTCGAAGAATTCCATATTTCACTCTGATTTAACATTTACTTTGGAAGAAAAAATCGGCCGAAAGATATTTTTTGAATGATTTCTTCGGATGCAAAGGATACATTACTTTGGAGTAAATAATATTGGACTGTGCGAAGAAGCCCTCAGATACTCATCCTGTAATCGTGATGTCTTTTAGCTAAATTAAAATAAACTAATAAAGGTGGTCTGCTGTAGACACGATATCCTACAGCATAATGATTAGGATCCAGTACCGACCACATATTCAGTTTCGAAATTTAGGAGGAAAATGAAGATATGAACACCAAGATCGTGTGGCCTTTGATATGGTCGCAATCTCCTTTCGGTGTATAGAAGCAGACTAACCTCGTTTTCGCAACTTGGGATACCTAGTTGGACGCACGTTGTAAGAAGTCCTTTGTTATAATAGCAATCATAATTCCAAGCGTCGGACCATGACGTTGTGCCGGCATCGCAAGTAAACCTTGCCATTCTGAGCACAAGGCTACAATTCGTCTTGCAACTATAAAGAGTTGTAGCTTGGTGCTGAGAACGGTGAGACCCAATGACGATGCCGGCGAAACGTCTTGGAATGTATCAAGTACACTGTCCGGCGCAAGGAATTATAACTCCTATAGCAGAGGACTTCGGAAAAGATGTGTCTAAGTCGCCCTAGCAACACAACCAAGTCTCGAACAGGTCAGCCCACTTTCAAGAAAAAAACCTGTGAAACCATTTTTGCATTTGGATAACCGTTTACCTAATAGACAGAACCCTTTAAATAGGCAATGCCAACACGAGACATGTAACAGTGAAAAAATTCCATCAATTCGTTGAAAGCAAACAGAACGGCAAAATAAGTAACCAACTATCAGTTTATCCTGCAATAAATAATTATTTCCGTGAATTCTAGTTGTTGATCTAGTTAAGTATTTAACTGTTAATCTTAATTGATAATTTTACGTTTAAAAATAGGTTTTCGAGACTATCAAACTACCTCATTAATGTAATCAGACTGCTAGTTGAATTTGCCCACAATGATATGAATTTCACATAGCCTTGGTTCTCAAAAGATAATCTTATTCAGAGTGGACTGCGGTTACATCGCATAGGTCTCATCAGCCTCCCCAGTGGGAATTTAACCGTAGTAATGCAGCGTATAATGTCGACAAACTAACCACTACGCCACACTGTCTATGTTTGACAGGGAAGATATGCATTTCGAGAAAAGCCGGGCATTTTACGACATCATATTATGTGGTGAAATTGTCGATAAGGCGAAGCAAGAGACTGCTATAGCAATCAATTACATTACTTATTTTGGGTTTTACAAGTAGGCTTTCGAGATTTCCAGTTGAGCAAATATTAGATGTAATTACCCTATTTCGTTAAGGTGGTGAAGGGCGGGTAGCCGGATTTTCCAAGATAAGATCAACTCATATCATTGTGGGAAACTTCAACAAGCATTCCTTCATCACTTTAGACGATCTATGTCGAATACATCTATTATATCATATTTACTTGTAGTCCCGAAAACCTACTTACAAACGAAAAGTAAGATTGTCGATTAATATAAAAAATACAACTTTGCTTCGTCGAAAATACTAACATATAAATGTGGGTAGGAAAATGCCAAATCTTCTTTTGAAATTCATATCTGCTGTGTGGCCCAAGGACGCTAGTGGCAATGTGGCCCACCCTGGATGAGAATACCTTGCAATGAGCAAATCTTTGTGAAGGCTGATAAAGAAGTTAAGGTCTACTCATATTATGTGGGAAAATTTAGCTACCAGTTCTTTATCACCTTAATGAAAGAGAGTGAATATATATGGTAAAATTGGATATTTGTTTTTAAAATAAATATTCCTCATTCTCCGTATTTTCTGCTCACAGTGGCGTCTGCTATACACAAAGACATAACTAAAGATGCTTGAACAATGCAGAATCAAATGCTAGCTTATATATGTAGGGAAACAGTTGTGACCACGTTCAAAGATGGAAGATCAGCATATATTCATTGAAGTACCAGAACGATGAGCAGTGGATTTCTTAGCACAATTAAATAGCCTCCATTATAAGGCAAAGGCTTGACGATGAGACTTACTCAGAGGCTTGAGCCTCAAATTAATCACCCAGACGCAGGGGAGGGTGAATAACGCCTCGAATAGCACAGATGGGGTGGCAGGGGTCGAGTGAAATACGTGAACCAAGGATATAGAGAACGAATCTTACGGGGCAAGAGAGAGACTGTGATAAGACCAAGGGAAGGATCACCGCGTAATAATATTGCAATCTCTGATCGACATTCCCAACACAAGGGTGAAGGGGATGAGAACGACAGCGTGGAGTGTTAAGGGTTTTCATGAATGCCGCTCAAAGGAGCACACCACACTACATTTAAATAATCACGGTAAAAATTGTAACAATGAAGGAGTGATAGGAGGATATAGGAAATGTGAATAGCCCAGGGCAGAAGGGGGGATACAACAACTGTTTAGCACACGTTTGGTCAAATGATCAGCTTCGCTTGTCTATTTGACGAGTTGTTGTGTGGTAGTAAGAATGGCGAGACTCACTTACGGTGCCGACTACAATGCCAACGAAACGTCTGGGAATGTACCACGTCCACGGACTAGGTGCGTTCTACCAATATGACCAAGTTGCGAAAACAAGATAAAACAACCTCAATACAACGAAAGGAGACTGCTACAACACAATAGGCCACACTATATTGGTCTTCATACCTTTAAATAAATTAAGGTCATAAAATTATTAAGGAATTCTTCAAAAGCCAGCTTTCCTTCATATATACTAGATCGATACCATCTAACAATATGATCTATAAAGATGGTCCGAATATAGTTCAAATAGAGCAGTGGTTGCGAAACTTTTCATTCGCGGTGCCCTTTTTCAATTAAAATTTTTCCATGGCGCCCTACCCTAAGTATGACTATTCATAAAAGATAAAATAATATAATTCGTATATCTTCATTATTTTTTTTATTTTATTAACATCAAATTAATATATAATAATAAATATGATGATTGAGCCTGCAAATCACTACACATTTTCTCAAATTGAAGCTTTTACAATATTTCGCGGCGCCCCTGTAAAGAGGCCGCGGCGCACAGTTTGGGAATCACTGAAATAGGTTACAACTATAGATAATATTGGTATCTTATTATACATTTTTGAAATTTATGTTCCTAAAAGCTCAAAGAATGCTTACCTCAGGAATATATATAAATTTCCAGGCTTCGTTTCTTGTTTAAAGTAAAGATTAACTGGAACATATTTTATATTTTTGCGTGATATTAATCAATTATCTTAAATTAATAGTTAGTGATTTATAAACGATTTAAGGAATAATATTCATTTGCAGATTCTGTTTGACTTCTGTTGCAGAATATACGCAAAGTAACTAAAATCAAGAGACGCTATATAAAAAATTGCGTATGATAAATATTCAAATGCCTGTCATGCAACGTATTATATTATGGATTATTATATAAAATAATCCTAATAGAGACAACCTACGATTTTGGGGCAGACTATTGCATTCATAGACGAGCAATTCACTGCATAAGCGCGAACATTCTCCACTCGTCAGGTTTTCCTCTATTTATGCATTGAGGTAATCAAGTCATAAGTTTATACCTCAGAGATTCTGTTAGGTCGGTAAATATCTTTTACTTTTCACAATCATCAGGGGTCTGCAACCTTTAGGATACTTTTCAAATAATGTAACACCAAGAAGTCGATAGAAATAAACGAAATTGCCAATATAATGAATATGATATGCTATAAGTTAGGTGGGAATTAGTTGTGGCTACTGGATAGGTTGAATGTAGATAGAGAGGGAGTATGAAAAACCACGAAGTAAGAGAGTGGATCAATCTCGAATCCGATTAGGGCTGTCCAATCCCATGTGACTTATTAGCATAAGGGAAATAAAAGCACGCGCCAATACTGGATGATAATACATTAGCTTAATGATGTAAGGAAATATTTGACCGCATCTAAATCCTCTTCAAGCAACAATTGCACATAATTAAAAGCACATAAGGCAAAGAATAGTGAGCCAATTAAATTATGTCTAAAAGCGATTGCAAAATAAAGTCTAATAAAGTAGTATGGCTGCAACCAGCCACCTCATGGTTTAATGGAATTGGTTAGGGTTCTGGAAGTTAGTTCTGGCTCTGAAAATGTCGACCACATAGCGGATCTATTGAAAGTGACGAAAGCTAATTATAAAGGAAAAATTAATAGCTAATATATTATATGAATTCATCCTATTTCGTTTAATATGATATGGTGATTGGTAGTTGACTTTTCCCATAATGATTTTAGTAGAACTTACGTTTCCATTGAATTGCATATAGCCTTGTTTTCCTAAGAGCTATTCTCATCGAGGGAGGAAAATTCAACTACCAGTTCCCTTATCACCTTAAACGAAATAGGCTGATTAACTTTCACATTGTTTGAAAGTAAAACAATAATGTCAGAGAGCGATCCTAATTACTTACCATAGCCTGGCTGTCCATTTGATGAGACATCTTCTGATTCGATTGACTTTATATGCTTTTAGTACAGATAATGAACTGATTGCAGATGGCTTATAAAATGAATAGAACAAAATAAAAATATCTTGCCCCAAGTCCTTTAATGTTGACGCATATAAACATGTTTCAATGCCACATTGTGTTTATACAACGCTGTCGAATATATTATGTGCTAATCTGATTCAGGATTAATCAAGCTTTCTTGCTGGGTGATATTTCGTTGGTTCTCCCAACCTCAAGAGATTTTAACAGAATCGAAAATTCCTCGCCTATTCTCGTACGATCGTTCCTTCTATTCAGTGGTGGAGGTTTTGTTGATTTCTTCATACCTTCTAATCATCTTCTTTTTCGTAAAATATTTGTCCTACTGAGCGTTTGGTTTTAGGCCAGGCGATCTTCTGTTATGAGTGGACAAACAAATCTGTCGACTCTTGTATGCTAAGATGTATGGGTCGACAAGTCTGACCCATATATAAGTTACCACATCACCACAAAACCTAGTGATAGTCCGATCTGGAGGCTCAAAAACTCCAGATAAAAGTTTTATTCTCTCCATATACACTATTCAGGTGATCCAAATCCCCAGTAATTCGCCTATATTATTTGAAAGCTGACGAAATTATAAAAGTTAGATCATAGTAACAGCCCAGCCGTCTATCCTGTCCCCAAGCAGATGCATCTTTCTACCATATTTGCTAATATTCTAAAATAATTACCAATTAATCCTGATATATGATTTTTTAATTAAAATTTCTCTTATTAGCTTTGTTTCCTGACCCTGATTAAAAAACTTACGTTTTACGGCCTGACGGGTTCGTGGCTGAGTCAGCAATATGTAAACTTGAAGCAAAAGTTGTGGGGCAGACTCCATAAAGCATTCTATCGTACGGAGCATAGCTGAATCAGCGTCCTCATACAGCATCATTTGAGTGTAGTGAACGCGCTGCGAAAGATTGATGCTTGGTCTAACACTAGCGACTCCATAGTAGATAGCGTCAGTAAGTCTAAGTTAATTTAGTTTAATAAATGTGCGTCATAAAATAAAAGTAAATACAATTAGAGAATCAATTGCATAAGTGAAATGTCATAATCAAAATTGATATTTAAAATAAATTTCATTTACGATGAAAGATGGGAATATCATTTGTAAACAGAATCTAATAAGTTTGAATCGGGCTAGTTGATGGCACACCAATAATTATTTTGTTGCTTCATAGGGAATCGGATATACTAACAAAAATCATTAACTGTATGCGATTTTAAAGGTAAGAATAGCCATTCTATCAACCATTTATTAGTGATGGCTTGATTTTTTTATTAAATTCACTACGCCATGCATCGTAAAACGCTATTCTCATCTAATGAATTATAGCTTAGGTATAGCATGAGTTTAATCAGCAACACAAGAGGGAATAAGACTACAAATCAGTGGTCGATATCGTAAACAAGATGGTCTGTCTTTTTATTTGGTCTAAATCCTATTTGATAGTATAATGATAATTTCACCCCGTTTGTGCAAATTAGTCGAACCGACAGGGAGACCCTGTGAAAAGTTACTAGTTCTGCGAAAATTATCTGTAACCGATGGTAAAAGCGATATTATTGAAGCTAGAAGACAGAATGGTGTAAATAAGTAAATAAGCCATATTAGGTGGGTTGATAGAAAGAAGTGCAGCACTAGAAGATAAATAAAAATGGAGAGGTGATTCCACAACGATTTAACAGAAAATTGGTCAACAGTATTGCCTTCACTATTCACTTTGATTAGTTGGAACTCTGTGATAAGGATGGCGCCTATCACTGACGATACAAGTGAAACGTCTGGGAATGTACCAAGTCAACGGCTCGATGACGGAAACAACCATGAAAAATAGGGCAGAGGACGCAGAACGAGGTAAGTTCAACAAGATCTGTGAAGATCTGACCAAGTTGTGGAAACGAGGTCAAAACAGCACTATAAATAAACCTGTTAAGAGACAAATAAATTAACCCCCAAAAGACAAGTCCATATCCATACAGAGTATAATAGAATAATGGTAAGCAGAAAAACTTTTACTAAGTCACATCTAGTGGAAGCTTGTTCATCAAGAGATGCTAGAGTATTTAAAAACGACGTAACTGACATCTCGTCGTTTCCTAATCTTCCAGGAAAGATATTACTTTTGGATTATATAACAGAGTGGCGGCCACAATAAATAAAATGAATTTAAGAAAAAAAATCCGACTTGGATAGACGACCTTATGTGTATGAGAGCAAATTTCATTGTAAAAATCAAGCCTATTGGCAACTCATAACAAGTAACATTGTAAAAAAAATTAACTTTAGGCTATTTTACTGATAATGTATCAGAAATTTTTTTAGGCTTCTAAGGCGAGTTGAGAAGTTCCGGCCACTACCAAGAAGTATCCCAAAAATAAAATGCTGTTTTCCACAGCTTTAGACTTTTGAAAGATAGCCACATCAAAAAATAATGAAAATGCGCATGTTCATTTTTAACGCATCGAGTAAGAGAATTAACAAACCTAGCTCACTATGGCAACCAGGATCAGCCTGATCTGGCTGAACTTTGTTGATCGAGGCAGATTTCCAATCCCTGTATGAGGCAAAGCCAAATCTACTATATCAGAGAGGTGTCTCACCATAAATAAAAATGTAAGAACAATTAATACACAAAGTATAATTCACTAAGCGTAGGTCATAACCTTTTAAGCACGATGCCACTTAGGAACATAACTCTTTCTACTGTCATTATCCGAGAGTGATAGCTTGTGATTATAAGAGTAGTATTCACACTATTTCGTTTAAACTGATGAAAACTGGTAATCGAATTCAGATTGCAAACTATAGTGCCTTTAATCAAATCTACTCTATCAATAGACCATGTGGAAAGTGCATCTAATATTTTTCTCAATAAGGAAAAAAGAAATTCACATAATTTAGAGATAAATTTAAATTTTAAAGAGACATATGTGCTGTCTACATAGCAGGTAACAAAATTAGTTAGGATACAAGGAGTATCTGAAGGGGCTATCGTGACCAATTATATCTCTCAATACACCGTTCGGCCACATTAAGCAGCACCAATTCTGTCCGAAGCACAACGACCACCGTTGAATAGGTATGCAATAGTAGTCAAATCGAACCCTCCCCCCTCACACCTGCATCTGCATTATAGCATTCGATGTCACCACAAAGCTTCAATGGTGCATTATTTCGTCTTCGACCTCACAAACAACTCACAAGTTTGTTACTCCATATAATAGGTTAATGAACAAAAGGTCTTTATTTCCCATTGTCTTTTGTGAGCTCAAGAGTAAATGAGAACTTTGATAGAATGAGAGAAAAACGAGAAATCAGAAATAAATAATGTAATCAAAACAAATATAACCGTATAATACTATATATATCAAATAAGTAATAAAATGAGTACACTGAAGAACAGAGGTAAAGGGAGGTCGAAGTTATGAAGACCAAGATGGTGGCTTTGGTATGGTCGCAGTTTACCCGTTACAAAAAAGTCGTTTGACCTTGTATTCGCAATATGGTCATATTGACAGAAAGATCTAGGTGAATGCACTTTGTCCGGTGTACATAGTATGCATGATGATTTCCAGTCGAAT